AAAATCACTGCATACAAGTACATGGTATATGTTTGATTTTGTTGTATAATTTTCGAGTTTGCTCCTGTGGTTGGAATAGGTTAATAGAATTGCAACTAGTGATCATGAAAAGAAAGATATCTTAAAAATAACAAGAGACCATGAAAAATTTTTACTCTCTTAGGATGAAAAACACAGACTAAATGGACAATTTCATACTTATGTGTAAATTACCAAAACTGAATCAAGAAAATGTAAAAATTCTGAATAACCCAATATCAGTTAATAATCATCTCAATAGATGCAGAAGAAGCTTTTGCCAAAGTCCAACTCTCATTCATGATAAAAACCCTATAGAGAATCAGAATAATGGTATTTACCTCAGTCTGATAAAAGCCATCTATGACAAACCAACAGCCAACATCATACAAAATGGACAAAAACTGAAGGCTTTCACTCTAAAATCAGGAACAAATAAAGCACACTAATGCCATAAAGTAGAAGGTAATGAACATCTTCACCAAATAACAAAGAAATCACTACTGAGGTTGAGAAGTGGGGACATTCATGTGTGCCCCAGAGAAAGCATGAAAGGGCTCATAAAAGTGATGACATTTGAATGCAATTTTAAGGGAAAACTATGAGGGAAATGTGAAACTGTAGGATAAAGATGAGGAGAAAAAAGTCTAATAGGTTACAAGACAAATTGTGATTACAGGAAAATTAATAGTTTTAAAAAGTATGGTTTAAATATAGCAATTAAAAAGAATAAAGATCAAAAAATCAATGATATAAATATCCATCTCAAGAAATTACAAAGAGAAAGGCATAATAAACCCAAATGGAGAAGCAAATAAAAAATGATGTTCAAGATTTGGAAGACTTCATATTGCAAAAGTTACCAAATTAGCTTCAGATGCAATGCAGTCCTGACTGAAATCTCAGCAGATCTGTGTGTATACATGGGTGTATGGAGATATTCAAGCTGACAAAGGCCAATGGCTATAGGTAGGTAGGTAGGTAGGTAAGTAGGTAGGTAGGGCCCAAGTCATACAGAGCACTGCTGATCTTGCTATGGAGTGGGAAGTTTATTCTTAAAGTAAATAGGGAAGAATGAAGGACCTTTAAGCACAAGAGCAACATGGTTCACAGATTTAAAAACATATTACCAATATGTAAGGAAAAATTGGTTAAGTATAAAAGGCATTGTAATAATCTGGAGACATGATTATAACTTTACTGTTGTAATGGAAGTGGGACAGAAAAGAGTGGAAAGATTCAAAGCCTACTTAGACTTTGTGAGAGTTTGAATATGTTTTACAAGCTGGCAGAGGGTGGAGTTGTAGATAATGCTTATGTTCCTAATTTGGAAAAGGACTAGTGTTGAATTTTGAGCCACATGATCACAGTCTTGTGATTTTCTCTTACAGTTTCATGCAGCCCAGGAGGAATGGAAGTAATGTTTATAGATTTGTGCAGTGGTTGATGGAAGGTTTGGAAGGCCAAATATTCTGAGGTGTAGCAAATGCCTAGCTAAAATAATTGGTCAGGAGGCCCAGGCTAGTTTCAAGGCATAGGAAACCAGGACAAAGTGTAACTTGAGAGAAGTGAGATGTATCAGTGGGAAGTCATAATGCAGAAGGACAGTGAAATTAATGGAGGAGAGGATAAAGTTGTAAAAGTACAGATTAAGTATTTCAATAATAAGAGACTTTTAGGGTAGCATCTTTGAAAGGATATTTATGTTGTGGCAAATCTTAGTCTGAGGATAACTGAGTCACCCTTGGACAAATTGGAGGGCTTTGGAATTAAAAGAAGCCAGAGAATTGTGAGTTCTGGGAGTTACTGCTTTTTGTCTATGGATGGCAAAGATTCCAAAAGTGACTGCAGAAGATAAGACATAAAAGACTTGAGAGCCAAATACTACATTCAGGCAAACATGATCTTTTGAAAAAAACTATGAAGATTGAAAAAGGTCTGAATTCACAGATGGCAAGAACTGTGTTTCATTCATCTTTGCCTTTTTTTGTACACAGCGTATCTGAAACATAGCAAGTGCTCAAAAAGTAGTTACTAATGGAACTGACTCCTTTGCCCTTTTCCCCACAGAAATTCACATTTATACATGCTATACTAGGTGACTATTTCAAATTGAGAGATCAAGAGGTAGGCAGGTAACCTAAAAAATAGCAATAAGTACAAAGAAGAGCAAGGGAAAGAACATCACAGGTAGTGGAAAGATCATATCCAGGAACAAGGGTAGCATTTTGAAAAGCAAAGATGGCTAGTGTAGTTGGATTTTAGTAGTTAAGTGAACACAGAATGGTAATGATTAGTTCAGGCAGAGCCCAGATTATGTATGGCACTATAGATAGGTTAAAACAACTTGAGTGTTACTCTAATTGAGATGAAAAACCATGGAGAGTGGTAGCTAAGAAATGGATTAAGCTGGTGTGGTGGCACACCCAGAACTTGGGAGGCTGAGGCAAGAGGATTGTTTGTGAGTTCGAAGCCAGCCTGAGCTACAAAGTGAGTTCAAGGGCAGCCTGAACTGCACAATGAGACCCTGTTTCAAAAAGACAAAAAAAGGATAGATTAAGTTGGAGCTGTTTACTTGGATCTATTGTATTAACAATATTCAACTTCTCCCATCCTAGCTTCCATTACTGCTCTTCACACAAATCAGGCTACTTATCATTTCCCCAATCGCACTCATGTTTTCCTGTCTCTTCATTGTGTGTGAGAGACTCTCTACCTGGAATGATTTCTTGTCCTTTGATTCATGTCCCAAACCCTTGTTACTTTCAAGATCAGTCTAAAATGGTATATACTCTACGAATTCTTTCCAAATTCCCAAGGCCAGAAATAATTACTCTTTTTAATGAATTTACACAACATTTGGTCTATGAACTGGGATTTAGACAATGCATGGAAAAGTAAGATGTCAAGTAACATTATCATTACTATTTAAATGATATTTATACATATCTAATCCTTTGTGAGACAATTTGTAATCATATGTTTAATTTACAATTCCTGATACAATGCCAGAGAGACAGAGAGACAGAGACAGAGAGAGAGAGAGAGAGAGAGAGAGAGAGAGAGAGAGAGAGAGAGAATCAAACTGATTTGAATTAAATTTTGGAGGAAAAAGAAATCACAGTCAGTTAAACTTGAATAGAAATTACCATAACCCATGGGGTGGGAGGGGAAAAAATAGATGCATTGTGTACATGTACCAATTCCCCACAATAAATGTAACCATTATGTAGCACAAAACAGGTACTAATAAAACTTTTAAAAAGAAATTACCATAACCTAGATTTGCTAAGAGCAACAAGTGCTTCCATTAGGTCAAAGATTATGGTTTCATGTTGGTTTTTATAATAAAGGACATGTCATTTCAATTAAATCACATTCTCCTAGGTTTCCTCACATTTCATAGGTCACCCATCTCATTGTCTTTATACCCTCCTCTTCCTTTAGACCCCAGGACTCAGTTCTCCAACCATTTCTCTAGATACAGTCACTTCCTATGAAATCTTATCCAATTTCATGGCTTTAGATATTATTTATACGCTGATGGTTCTTAGTTTATACTTCTAGCCCTCAGCTTTTACTTGAACATCAGATTTGTATAAGAAACTTCCAGCTTAAAAATATAAAAGGACACTGCAAGCTTAATGTTTCTAGTTACATGCTGTTGCCACCTGAAGCTCAACGTGTCCAAAACAAAATGATTACTTTAAACCTATCATCACTCTAACATTTTTACTTCCATAAGATTGCACTGTGATTCATCTTCACTATGTCTAACTCTAGAAATTAGCATTGGTTTATTTCTTTCAAGCTTGTTCAGATCATTTCGGTTTCCAGTTTATTCCAAGTCAAACAATTTCTCTTTAACTCCACTGCTAGTACCTTGTCCAACCCATGATCATTTTTTGCTTGGAGTATGCAAAAGTTTCCTACCTGGATTTCTGCTCCTACTCCCTTTTGTATTTAGATAATTCTCCACTCAGCAGCTAGACTACAGAACCAGATTATGGCACTCTCATGTTCAAAATCTCTAATGGTTTCACATCTCACTTGGAATAACCTCAAAATATCTTACCATGGTCACAAGGTCCCCACATGATCTGATCCTTAACTTCCCCTTTGTCTTTTCCCTCTTTGCATGGTACTCTTGCCACACTGTCTCTATTGCTCTTCCTCATCACACCAAGACTTCCTCAAAACCTTTGGGCTCTCCAGTCAGTCAAGATAAGCAGGGTAACTTTGAGAACAGACATAGTAGAATATTCATCTTCATTTCTCCAACAGTTAACCCAGTGAATGGAATTCACAGATGTACACATATGGACAGGTTTTAGGTAAGTATACACTGTGATGTTTTCATAAACATCTAATGTTACCTTACCTGTTTTGACAGAGTGCTTTGTTTAAAGAATGGCAGGTGCTAGCTCTTCCAGTTAGACAACTTCTAGAATGTTGTATTTGACACCAGATATCACATATTACGATACCTTTATCTTAATAGCCGCATTCCAGGTAGTTAGTTAGGACAGAGAAACCAGTATGAAGAAAAGAAAGAGCTGCTCCTTGTGAGGAACTATTACAGGAATCAAGAACCTTTCACCTCATGAATACTAAAGGAATTCATACCAAAGGAAAGCCCTTCCCAAATAGCTGTAAATCTGCCACCTGAAAGAGGATGTTATGCTTATTTTTGCTTGCTGTAAAGGAAAGAATTCATAGTAGAAAGTTTCAGAGAAGATGGTGGTAGTTCAGCATAAAGACTGACCAACAGTTCTGTGGAAAGCAGTGCTCTGTAGGACACTATAGCACATTACATGTACCGCCATGCCCAGCTCTCACCGGCAGATATTTTAGCAGCCCTTTCTCAACAAGTGATTGAACAAGGATATTTATTTTTTTATTTTAAAGAGCAAAGAACAAAACAAAATAACAAAAACAAAGACATAAACAAAACAACATAAAAACAATAAAAATGATAAGGATATTTAAAACAAAGTGCCTTTAATCCAGGATATCTCAGAATCTTTAATATGCAAATATTGTGAAGATGATAATATGCCTCTTTTCCCAAATGTATTTGTCTATTGAGACTTTTATTCACAGAACAATATTAACATCTGTTGAAGCAAAATTATAAAAGAGTTTGGGTTAAGATGGTTAGAAATGAACAGATTGTTTTCTAAAGAAGTACAGACAGGTTTATATCAATATGTCTAGAAAGCTGGATGGTGTCCTTGGTTCTTCTGTTCTTCTGAAATCTTGATCATTAAAATTGAATGATACAAAGCTTAGGGAAATAGAGAATGGCCCGTACTAGTTCTTCCAGTCAGACAACTTCTAGAATGTTGCATTTGGCTCCAGGTATCACATATTAAGATACCTTAATCTTGACTGCCGCATTTCAGGTAAAGAGTATTACTTAGAACAGAGAAACCAGTATGGTGAAAGGATAGAGCTTTGCCTTGTGAGGAACTATTACAGGAATCAAGAATCAATTCGCTTACTTGTTACCTTATTGACACTGTGAGACCAACACTGTTTTAGATGAGACTGGAATAAAAAGCACAGAAGCAAAGCTTTATAGTACAGGGATTCTGAACTTTTTCCACTGGTGACATAGTACACTGTCATAACATTTCCCAGATCTGTGCCCTGATTCATTCACTGTGGGCAAGGTAAGATTTCTCATCTTTTTTCATTCATACATGCAGAAGCAAAACCCTCTCATGCTCTACTCCTACCACACACAGATTTTGATAAGATCCTCCTGAAGGCCATGCCCTTTCATTGAGTATCACCACTTACAACTTCAAACCCAGGCATTAACATTAGCCTTTTTTGGATGGACAGAAAATTTGCAAGACTAAAAGAAGAAATGATATTTTAAAATTGTGGGAAAAGGAAACCAGGAAAAACATCAAAACAAAGTTACTACTTTGAGGCTAAGTGGAAAGATTATAAAAGGAAGTTGCATTTATAAAAATAATGTTATTAATGATTTGTTTCAATAATCAAAACAAGATATAATCAGAAAAATCTGTCTCCACAATGCTGAAAAGATTCAGTTGCAAAATTATAGTTATTCTTCATACAGCTATCTACTGAAGGATATAGTCCATGGCTGGAACATCATAATTCTAGGAAGAATGTTCACTGTAGGAGAAAGAATGGCTGATCAGGATTTCTACACTTTATTAATACTCTTGTTCTCCAGGACTATATTTACTAATATTTACTATCTTTACTATGGTTTCTAAGACCTGTTAGTACTGAGAAAGGAGTGTTTCACTGAGATATTTAATGCTACAGCAATCAGATACATATGTATATATGTATTATATACATATATTAATAAAATAGCATTTTGTTCCTGCCATAAAAGACTCTATCAAACATGGAGAGCTGACAAGCCAGCTCCCAAGCCAGCTCTACCATACACACCATCTTTGAGGTTCTTGTGAATAGCACAATTATAGTGCCAATAAAGCACTTGAAATACCATGTTTTTATTTTCCACTGTTGCCCCTAAACCAGTACCCCAAAAGGTGGGATTTTCAGTTTTAAATAGCAAGGACCTGTGAAGGAATCGTGCATAATTCTGCATACCCACAAAGATTTATCTTAAGTAGACATTTGCGGTTTTGTGGCCATTTGAGACACCAGGCCAGCTTGAACTACACTATACAGGATTTACTGAGTTTGCTAATAAATGGGAAGACACCTAGTGTATGTGTCTTGTTTAAAGATGAACTGGAAACCACAGCCCTAAAATTACCTCTCTCATATAAGAAAGGTGGGGAGATCAGCTCAGATATGATGCTAACTTTCTCTGCTAGTCTACTAGGAGAAACAAATGCTTGCAGTTAAGATATGCTCAACACCATGGCCAGGAACTGAATCAGTGCAGGGGATCATCAGAGCTTTGTATTCTTGGTTTCTAGGTTGACCATTTTCCCTTGCATATGAAGATGATGTTTATTTTCTGGCCCATGAATCTCCTCTGAATTTATAGGAACATAGTAGTAGCTCATGATGGAGAAGATCAGGCAGACCACCAGTAGAAGGCAGGAAAACAAAATGAATTCAGCCCACTGTAGGAAGAAAAAACATAAGAGAAGAATGTGGGGAAAAGTGAAACAAAAAGTATCTTTACAGGGTAGGGACTGGGGAGCAGACTGACTGATGGATCATTTAGACAGACTTCCTGGAAGAACACTGGGTTCACTGGTCTTTCCTCGTGCAAGCTTTATGGTGGTCACTATTGCCACCTACATATGTCTATTTCCTGGTAAAGTCTGTGTATCTAACTCATTCACATCATAGCACTCAGTAGGGAATAACAGCTACAGAGAAACTGGGGAAAGGGTTAGGAGGAAGTTGGAGGAAAAGCTGTGGGTAGACATACAATCCTGTTTCCCCCGGGTCCGTACCTGTACCAGGCCACTGAACTGTGCAACAACAAGCACGATGATATTCCCAAACGCAACTGTCAGCAACCAGGCTGCTTGGAGTACAGATTTCATGCTAGATGGAGCCTAGGGAGGACACAAATTTGTAATTAAACAGGCTAACTACACCGCTGTCCTGCCCCATGAGCCTACTCGGGCAATTTCTCCCATAGAATCTTCCAGATTTGAACTTCCTCCACTAAGTTTAGCTGTCACATTGATTCGGAGGATGGTTATAGTGTTAAAAGAATAAAATACAGCTTTTAATTCAATAATTCATTTTATCATATCATCTTTATTGTAATCCTAACATATAAATTCTATTAGTATTACTAAAATATAAGAAAAACAGCATGAAGAAAACAAAGACAGCAGTAGCAGGATGGTAATTTACTTGTGCAAGTTTACACAATGTCATGCAGCCAAAATTTGAACTTGGATAGTCTAACTCCACAGGCCTTTCTCTGCATCTTTAAGTGTTCTTTTCCAGAACCCAAGGAGCACAGACCCTTACGCTGCACTGTCATCAACTTGGAAGTCAAGATGAGTGTTCAGGGTCATATACAAGGAGCACGAGGCCAGAAGAGATGGAGGTCTTGGTTGGGATCACATGACCATTTGAGGCAGTGCCAGAATTAAAACCCACTATCTTTCAAGCAATGTCTCCTCTTCCTCTCTTTCTTTCTTTTTTTTTTTTTTTTTTTGGTACTGGGAATCGAACTTCCTCTTTCACTTTCATTCATGAAATCTTACCTGAGAATAAGAAAACTCAAGTCCTGTGACAGAGAACATGACCTCTGCAGCTGTAACCAGGGCATACTGTGGTAGCTGCCATGCAATGGACATTTGATTGGCAAGAATGTCTTCTCTCTTCCAGGCCTGAAGGCCTTTGTTGCTGACCTTATTGAAAGAAAAAGGAAATGAGATTTGTCAGTAGTCTCAAGTATATACTAACAATAGTATTCTACAGATCTATATCCATCCCCTCTTTTTATTTTTATCCTTCTCTACCTTTAAAAGACTGGGGGGCTGGGGATTTAGCTCAGTGGCAAAAGCGCCTGCCTGGCATGCGCAAGGTCGTGAGTTCGGTTCCCGGTACCGGAGAAAAACCAAAAAACCTTTAAAAGACTGCAGGTTCTGCACAGTGCCAGCACTTTCAAATTTCTTAGAATAACACAATATTCACTTACCTGTCTTCAGTTAGTTAGGTTAAGTCCTGGAGATCAAGTCTTTCAGGTCCACATGCCTTTGATTTTGGCTCAAAAGGCCATTTGGGTTCAAGATTATAAGGTATAATCTAGTTTAACAGGTATCCTTATATTAAAAAGGGGGAAATTTTTACAGAAACAGGCATATAGAGAAAATGCCATGTGGAGATAAAGGCAGACACAGAGGTAATTATACTACACAAGAAATACAAGATTTCTGGCAAACCACTAGAAGCCATGGGAGAGGTATGGAGCAAATTCTTCCACAGCCCTCAGAATAAATCAGTCCAACCAACACTTTATCTCAGATTTCTAGCTTTCAGAACTACAAGACAATAAATTTCTATTTGTAAGCCATTCATCTTGTGGTATTTTTATAGCAACCCTAGAAAATTAACAAGCCTAGGTTGGTTTAATATCTGAAAATCAAATAATGTTATATACCATATCCATAGGATAAAAATTTTTTAAATGTCCTAAATAAATGCAGAAAAAAATGGCAAAATTCAACCTCCTTTATAGTAAAAAAATAAAGAAGCAAACAATCAACAAAACCTCAAAGAAAACTAGGACTAGGAGGAAATATGGTAGAGCTATATATGAAAACCTGATAGCTACCCTACCTAATAATAAAAGACTGAATGCTCTCCTCCCTGCAAAGGAAGTCTGCTCTCACCACTTTGATCCAACATTGTACCAGAGAATTAGGCAAGAAAAAGAAATACAAAGCATCCAGACTGAAAGGAAAATAAAGCTATTTCTATTTGCAGATGACGTGATCTTATATGTAGAAAGTCTAAGTGATCTACTAAAATAGTGTTAGAATTAATGAGTTCAGTAAGGTTATAGGGTAATATACAAAGATTAATATATCAAACCAATTATATTTCTCTAACTTGTAATGAATCACCTGAAAATGAAATTAAGAATATTTTTAACAGCAACTTCAAAAATAATAAAATACCTAGAAATAAATTTAACAGATGAAAAAGTTATACTCTGAAAACTACAAAGCATTGCTGGAAACAATAAATGGAAAGACAGGTTCACTGAACAGAGGCTTAATATTTTGAGGGGAAAACTCCCTAAAATAATCTTTAGATTCAGTGTAACTGCTATTAAAATCCTAATTAACTTCTGAGCCTAAAGTGATTGTAAAATTCATGTGGAAATTTGTGGAACTCAGTATAAATAAACAAATCTTGAAAAAGGAAAACAAGGTTGGAAACTCACCCTTTCTAAATTCAGGAACTACAAAGCAACAGGAAATAAAATACTGTGGTACTGTCAGAAGACAGACATGTAGATCAAGGGGACAGAACTGAGAGACCAGAAATGAGACCTCACATTTGTGGTTAACTGATTTTTGACAAAAATTTCAAGACCATGTAATGGCAGAAAGAACAGTCCTTTTGATACATATTCTGGGGCAACTGGATGTACATGTATGAAAGAATAAAGATGATCCCTCAGCTCACATTATATGTCCAAATTTACTCAAAATGAATTAAAGATCTAGATGTAAGGTCTAAAACTATAGCATTCTTAGAGGAAACTATAGGCATGAATCCTTGCAACTTGGATTAGGCTATGGTTTCTTTAGATATGATAGTAAAACCACAATCAGTCTAAGAAAAAGTAGATAAACAACTCAAACAAAATTTAAAACTTGTGGATTTCAATAGATAACATCAAGAAAGTTACAAGGCAACCCACCTATTGAATGGGAGAATTTATAAATTATATATCCAATAGCAGATATATTTAAAATATATAAAGAATACTTACATCCCAATAAGAAAAAGACAAATAACCCAATTAGAAATTGAGTGATATTCCATTATATAAAAGTACCACAATTTTCTTATCCAATCCTCGGTGGATGGACATTTGGGTTGCTTCCACAATTTAGCAATTACACAGCTATAAAGAAAGATAAACTCGAGGCTTTTATAGGTAAATGGTTACAACTAGCGACCATACTCATAAGTGAAATAAATCAAACATACATGTGCAAGCACCACATTGTGTCACTAGTGTAAAACTTGAAAGAGTTAATTTAAACTCGGAGGTATGATAAACCTTGTAAAATGATAGGAAAGCACT